GCAAGTTGCAAGGAGAGAACAAAAGATTGATCATTTATACCAGTAGTAAGCTTCTGGTACTAATTATATTCTCTTGAATACCAGCTAGGCTCAGTAAATGTCACACCTATCCATTCTGTCATTAGTACCAACTATATATAGTGGGGTCACACCACATCTCCCTAAACAGCAGAGCAAATAAAAGTTAATTACTATCATCAGTCTCAATTAAGAAATAAAATTTGAAGGATCATGACATTTCTGGCAAAGTGAAATGCAAATCAAACTGGTTTGAAGACATTTTAACGTGAAATTCATTTTTAAATGTGATAGAAATACTGTAGTTAACATTCTAAAGAAACAAGGAGTTCCAGCCCCTTGAGTAATTATTCATTTGTTGCATCACTCGTCTCATATTTTAAGAACCACAGTTTGATAATTTTAATCTGCGAATTTCATAGTATTCTTCGACTCAAAATTCATTTCTTATGGCAGAAGTATTCTACTGAAATAAACATGACAAAATGAAGCTGACGCCATTCGTTTCGAATAACACATGAACATGATGAAAACGGCACCAGTTTAAACTCATGAAACAAAGCCCACGCATTTTTTTTGAGGCAAATGAACTGGTTAGACCAAAAGCTAAATAAATAAACAACGAACTGGCAGTGGTGAGGGATTTGGGGGTCATGTGATGAATAAATTCTACCGAAGTTTATCCTCTAGTCAGCACTTCAAGCTTAAAAAGGCAATTAGAAAAATTCTTACCAAAACACAACAACGAAATAAGATAAAACCGGAGATGATTGAGGCAAGACTATAACCGTTGTTAAGACACATGCCTACATGCCATGTACAACAGACTTGGAGAGCAAAAAGGCCAAAGACAGTTGTGAACCATGACTTGGATGATCCATCTCAACCTCCGAGTCCCAAAAACGAATTCGCCAAAGGTCGTAGTAAGAACACAGGCCACCCAAGCTCACGTCTCGAGAAAAAGCTAACGATTAATTCATAAACCCGTCACGCGTTGAGTGACTCGGTATTAAGTTACGAGAGGAACCGTTGAAAATTTGAACACGTTATAAGGAATAGTATGGGGAACGAAATATGGTCGATTTACGACGGTAAATATTTCGAAATATGAATATTTAAAACGTAATATCACTTACTCACATCCTATGAGTCCGTTGTAGTTTCTGGCTATTTCTTCTGTTTTAGGCTTGCTTTAGGTAAGTACCAAAACATGGAACGACCTAAAACCACCTACAACCACCTGCAACCATCTACAACCACCTCAAAAATTTCAATAACGACCTACAACCACCTCAAAAACATCTACAGCCACTCGCAAACTATCTAAAACCATCTAAAACAAGGCATATACGTGACATGTCGTTTCGCCATTTTTAAGACATTTATGCCTTGTTTTAGATGGTGTTAGATAATTGCGAGTGGCTGTAGATGTTTTTGAGGTGGTTGTAGGTCGTTGTTGAAATTTTTGAGGTGGTTGTAGATGGTTGCAGGTGGTTGTAGGTGGTTTTAGGTCGTTCCATGTTTTGGTACTTACTGCTTGCTTTACCATCGTTGATATTCCTGTGTCTTTTGACAGGAATAACAATGATGGTAAAGCAAGCCTAAAACGTAAGAAATCGCCAGAAACTAAAACGGACACACAGGATGCGAGTAAGTGTTATTGAATTTACGTGTAAAATATTCATATTTCGAAATATTTGCCGTAGTAAATCAACCATTTTTCGTTCCCCATACTATTCCTTATAACTTGTTCAAATTTTCAACGGTTCCTCTCGTAACTTAACACCGAGTCACACAACGCGTGACGCGTTCATAAATTAATCGTTGGCTTTTTCTCGAGACGTGAGATTGGGCTGCCTGTGGTAAGAGCGACTCAATCCTGAAGCTGGAACATTTTTTAAAGCCTTGTGTTCTATATGACTACAAAGGGAAAGAAAAGACGACGTTATTTGAAGTGATTTGAAGCTTGGGGCCACCTTGAACTTAACGCAATTTTATTTCAAAGTTGAAGTAAAATAAGATCAAATTCTAAACTACCTTCTATTATCGTAACGAATATCTCACGATCGTCTCCACATACAACATCTTAAGACTAACCTTCAAGGTTTGTTGTCTCATGTGCACATCTTGATCGTTAGCAAATAAATGCATACGCAGATGAAATGCTCCTCTGCTCGAAAGTGGTATCTTCGCTAAATATGGCGAATGCTAGAAGCGGGATAAAAATATAAGTCCTAAGATCCCTCGGCCATTTCCAGTCGCTCGTACCCAAATTGTTGAATGTGTTGTTGAACTATTTTTTACATAGTTGAAAGAAAAGGTTATTTTGGGACAAGATTTGGGCAGTTAAACACAGTTTTGTTCACAACTGGTGCTAAATCCTAGTAACAGAAAACAGCTTAATTGATTTGTCAAGATAGAACGAATGAACCTGTGAAATAACTCCTTATTTCTTATTATGATCAGGAGGATGGTGTTTTTAAATCAAAATGGCATCATCATTATTAAAAAAAGAAAAAAAAAACAAACAAATGGGAATTTTTTAGCAAATCTTATTTGACTCATAAATTCTGTGTTTGTGTGCAGAAATGCTGTCCAAGTATGCAGAAACACATGTAGAAGTCTAACTTTTATAATCTGGCTTTGAATAGTTTTGCTCATCTATAATCAAATATGCTTCAGCTAAAACTTGGGAATATCTGAGGATACACCTTAAGAGATATTCTCCCAGTTTTCAACCTTACACCTGCTTCGATAAAATTATCATTTGTTAAAAAGATGAGAGAGTGTTAAGCAGTTGTTACATAGGAAGGAATGTGTTTCTTTGTTGCTTCAGTCATACCAGTGAGCACCAAGAAGTAAACATCCCACAAAGCAAACACTAAGGTGTTCTTTAGGATTTTTGAAGGATAAAAAACATAATAGCCTCAATTTGGCACTAAAACATCCTTGTTAATCTCTTCATGGACATTGCCTGTTTCTTGAAGGTCTCAGTTTTCCTCAAGCTTTGCTCTCAGAAAACTGTTTGCATCTCGAACAGGTGATGTCCACAGCTTGGTTTATACTTTGCTTGGTTTTAGCAAAAAGTTAAAAGTACTGTCCCCCTTGTTTTGCAAGGACCGAGCTTCCCAGACCACCTCGTCAACCAGTCAAGGGGATCCAGCAGGAAACCCTCCTCCAACCAATGGGGGTAAGTTAAAGCAGTCAATGGTTTTGTTCCTGTACAATATCAATGATCTGCTTTCTACAGCTTAAAGCAACTAAGGATACTGTTACTCCTCGTAACTGGGGATCCTGGTCTACCGTGCTTGTTTCCGTATAATTTCTTCTGTGGTTTTGTGTCTACTGCTTTAGTGCAGAGCGCGTAATTAAGTCACTTGGTAATCAATCGATCAGATGAGTGCACGATCAAAATTATAGATAGCCGATTTCGAGAATTTTCTCTTGCATTCAGTGTTCATCCGACCGATCTTCGTTCCCGTGGTGTTCAATAAATGATGAAGAAATATGGTCCGCGCGGCCGACTCTCAAATTTTCAAGTTTGATTTTCCGTTCTTTTCCGATCGAGTTTGACCTTCTTGAGATCAAAATTTAAGGGAACCATGCCACAGAATACTTTATTAGGAAATGATGAATATCTAAGTCTTAGACGCGACAGAACACGCTTATCAAGTCAAAGTCACTTCGATTCATTAGAGCGATGCGAACCATGGCCGTAAAGTGAAAACCGAATTGTTAGATGTTAAGTGAGGCCTAGCAACAATTTGAATTAATGTTATTTCCGAAGAGAAGTGTTTAATATTGCAGAAGATTTTCTGTCAAATGTACACGTTTCCGATTTTTTCCAATATGACGGTCCTCAAATGATATTTTGGCCTTGAATTCAAGTAAACCATGATCTGAGCATGGTGAATTCAGGTGCACGGGTATCGTCCTCACAGAAGTTCGTGTATTTTTCGCTTCTAATAGCAATTCAAGAACTGCTTTGAGTACATTTTTTGTATTGAAATATTTCAGGGTCATTTATGATATTTACAGATTCCAGGAACCATGAGAACTCTTCATGCACAGGTTCTTTGTAAAATCCTATCCGTTAGCATGTTTGCACAACTGCAACAAAAGATCAGCGATTTTCATCTTTCATAAAACTTAAACTTATACATTTATCGTTTCTCTTCTTTGAAAATGAAATGGTCTACTTTCGTGGAAACGCATTTTTTTGGAAAAGGTAATTTATTGAAATTTACTGCGTATTTGGTGTACTCCCTCGGATAAATGCCTGGGCTAAAAGGTGGGAAACTTATTATTGGGGAAACTATTATTCTCCTTTGCTGATCCGCTTTTATTGAAGCTTAAAAAGTATGAATGAAGTGGAAACAGGGACGCATTTGCTGGTACCTGACTATTTAAGAAGGTGAGGGAGGAGTGGGGGCTGGGGGCTCTAATGTTTAATCTTATGGCCTTGGGTGTGGCGGTTGTTCGGAGGAGGGGTGTTTAATGAGCATGGGTACTTATTTGAGGAAACACAGTATGCATAGGTGTGTGAAACACTCAGGTGCGGAAGTGAAACTCAAAGTTTGTCAGGCACTAAAGGAAGAAGAATAATTTAAAACAGATTAAACCACGAGAAAATTAGCATTTTAAGGGAAAAGGAATTAAAAGCATTAGGAACTATTGTGAATGTAACAGCATATCTGGTAAATCCTATTTCACCAATACTTAGGCTAACTACTAATTCAGCTACTATTAAAATAAACTAAAAACGGAATTTTCAGTACAAGAGTTCTGCTTTATCTGTGTGAGACCTTTGAAAGTGGTGGAAGCAGCACGCTCTACTGGAACAAAGGAATTACCTTTAATTTGCCTATTACAACTAGCTGACATATGCAGGGTTTTTCTTTATGTCCTAATGCGTTTCCACTCTTCTGTTCCATATCTAGCCTTGCAGTGCAGTTGGTCTATTTTTTTCAGGTGGTGTGAACTGGGGCTATGTAGGTGCAGTCGGAGGTGGTGCGGTAGCAACTGGTGTTGCAGCAGTGGTAGCTGCTCCAGTGGTCCTTGGTGCTGCTGGTTTCACCGCTGGAGGTGTTGCTGCTGGCTCCATGGCGGCAGTTGCACAGTCCGCAATTTACGGAGGATTTACAGGGGGTGCTTTTTCGGTTCTACAAAGTGCAGGGGCTGCTGGCATAGGATTGGCAGGAAATGCTGCCGTTAGCGCAACCGGTGCAACTGTTGGTGGAGTTTTATCAGGTTTAGGAGCAAGATTATACGTGGGTTTTGATAAAACGTTGTTTGATGTTTTAATGAATTGAAGCAATTTGTGTGCCTACAAATCAAACATTCAAATTCAATCTAAAGCCTTTTGGGGTAATTTTAAACTCTTTCACGCTTATTTTCTAATTTCAATAGCTGTCCACAAAGGAACGTAGAAAATCGATGAGCGCTTTTCGACACTTGTAAGATTCAATAGCTGGTGTCTTTTTCCCCCGAAATTTAACAAATATTTCTGTCTTTTGTTTCTCTTTTATCTATAAGAATTTCGTAAGCGACGAATTGTCAATAAGCTTATATCATTTGCAATTCTATTATCAGGGCAGTCGTGTGAAGACCATTAATTTGTTGATATGTGGTGGAGGGAGTGATGCGCACGCATTTGCTGGCATAGCGTCCTCTCGGGAGGGAATTGAAGTTCGTGTGCTGAGTTTATATCAAGATGAAGCAGAGCGCTGGAGCTCTGCATTGCAGACCACAAGTGTTGAAGTTGAGTTACAGCGCAGGGGACATGAGCCGATGTCTATCAAATCCAAACCAGCATTAATAACAAAGAATCCAGATGAAGCCATGCGAGATATCGATTTGGTAGTCTTTGTCTCTCCTGCGTCTGCCCATGAAGATTATCTGGATGCCCTTAAACCTCACATTAAACCTGGAATGACCGTAGTTGGTCTACCTGGTGGACCTAGGTTCGAGTTCCAAGTTCGTCATGCGCTGGACGAGACTGCGCAGCCGTGTACAATCCTAAATTTTGAGTCGTCACCTTGGAGATGCCGTATGGTAGAGTTTGGTGTGAAATATGAAGTTCTTATCACAATGGAAACTCTTTTGGGGACCATGGAGGTTAGTTCTGATACTTATCAGTGATGTTCTGCGGGGGAATCGTTCATCAAACATAATTTGGTCAATATTTTTAAAATGATAATCTTGCGAAATAAGAGTCATGGCGAAATTATAAGAGTTTGTATGGAAATGTTTACGACCGCTCTCAGGATTAAAACAAATGCAGTCAAATTCTCAATTGAAATACCTCACCTTACTTTCACAGTGCATTGCTTGTTATTTGACCGCTTATTATGTTGAAAAGAAGCCATTTTTCGACATTTTATATTAGCGAGTTATCCATTTCTGGGTTTATTACTCATACGAGAAGGAGTAGTAGTAAATCTATAAATGGATAACTCGCTAAAATGGCCTAGGATGTTGCCATTCATCGCTTGGTGCGGTATGAAAACTGTAAATTTCTCAGGAGGCCGAAAACTCGAGGTTTGTTTTTACGTGAGTTACTTCAGCTGTAACGAATTAAAAGGGTATGTAGACACATTTGTTAAATTTTCATGAAAATTGACAGATTGTTTGTCAGGCTCTAAAGTGTGTGACGCCTTTAGGAAATTCGAAATATTTATCTCGTGTCGTCCCGAAGGGTGACAACAACCGAAATATTTATTATGGTCCAACTTCAAAATAGATTTTCTCAGGAACCAATGGGAATATCAAATAAGCCTCACATACATGGTTAGCCCGTCATCTGCTAAGTGATACTGTCCAGTTTGTGTTGACGTCCGCAGTAACGCGTAGACTAATAACCATGGTTTCATTAAAAGCAACGCGCCCAGGAAATCTTCCTAGGTGGGCTTGCTGTTACGTTGACAGTAACCAACTTGAGGACCCAGCTGATTTCGACGTAAAACGGGAATTGACTTTTTAAGCTAGGGAAACCTCATGCTGTTCACAAAATTAGTTGGGTTGATGAATTCAACGTTTTAAAACGATAGTCTTCGAAGTCATTCTCTCTTCCGATTCAATGATCTTTGATGATTCCCTTAAAACAACATTATCTGGTACTGGTAGACAGTTGAAAAGTTATTTAAAATAACCTTAACACGCTCCAGTTACCCTCCAGGCATGGACAGTGTCCAGAGAAAGTAATGTTTTGTTTTCTGTCACAATCAACGTAGTCTTGTCGGGTCATGTACACCTAAGGCATCCGTCGGACGAGTATCAGTCGATACGATCGGTCGATATGTCGGCCAAGTGTTGGTCGATGTATTGGTTAATACTCAACTGAGATATCGATCGACACGCATGTCTGACGATACTCGGTTGGCACTTAGCTGACACTATATTGACACACAGTCAACTACTACTTCACGCTACTGTCACTTGGCGGCTCCTTTTACTGAGTTGCATCTTCTCTACTCAAATGTTAACTTATTTTCTCTAGCCCTTCGAAACTTTTTAGTTCACATTTTGTCTTTCAACACAGAGAGGGAGTGTGGAGCCAAGGGAGGATCCAGTTTGCATTCTACAGAACCTCCTGGGACCTCTCCCTGAATTGAATGTCTCAGTCATTTGACTGAGTTGACTGATGTTGTTTTGAGATTGAATTTCGTTATGTGGCCTTCGATATTCAGTAAAGACTCGTTGCAAATTAATTTAAATTATTTAAGGTTTTGGGTCGATTGATCATAAGAGATTGTATTGAATTCGTCAGGTAATCAGTAAAGTTAATCTCCTCGAAAATCAAAATTATGTTGTCGAAGACGAAAGGTATTTCTCTTCTTGGTATTTACTGCGATAGAATATGGTTAAGGATAAAATGTTCAGTTGATGCCGTTCAGTAATGACAATAAAATTTGTTTTGAAACCATCTCAAAATGTCTGCTCTCTAGTATGACCAGTTGAGTTTGCAATACACAAACCAGAAATGCCAGAAATGGAAGAAAACTTAATTTCATTTTCTATTATGAGTGTAATTCCCCCAGTGGGTTTCTTCACTTATTAAATTTGTTATTTCCCCCACTGGAAACATATCGCCCGTTGACCTCTTTTGTATTGAGCACTGCTCTCAGTCTGCACAAAAGAAACTTTAAGGTAGATATTCGCCCAGTACTTCCCACACTCTTGGATAAGGAGAAATAAACTACTTTGTGTTAGAGAAACTCCTTTTGCCTATAGGCTGTTGCAGAGATCATAACTTTAATACTCGCTCCCAGTGCGAAGTAATTAATCATCAACCGTCAAATGAATTATCTTCCATGAATAAGATGAAAATTGCTTTTCAACTATATTTATCTCCGCAACAGTATCGTTAAAGGTACTAGTAAGCATTTGTAACCGAGCAATTTTGAGAGCCAATTTTTCTAGAACTCATGAGTAGTGGATATAGCTCCTCTTCTGTCGATAACGAAAATCCTTTAAGTTTAGGCCTCGCGGAAATTGCTCTCAATCTCCCCACATACGTCTCCTTGTCCGATGACAGAATCCCTCTCCGTTCACTTTGCTTAGTTGGGCTTTAGACACAAAGATGCTAAGGTTCCCTTTTAGGCAGTCTTTAAAGATCGTAGAATATAAGCAGAGCACATTGGGGCGGATCTGGAAATTTTAATAGAGGGAGGGGTTGTAGGTTCCAAACTTTCAGAAACTGGTTTTTTTTTCTTTTAATAGACCCTACATAAGCCAAGGACTATTTTAAGTTGAGTAAATTTTACATCATTCGAGCTGAATGGTAATGTGCAACCCTGTCATTGCAAGAACAAACTTAAGTTTCAGACGTATTAAAACCCTCTGCTTTGTCTTGGATTGCCTCTTCGTACGCTTTTTTAAGCAGATTTCTCGTACGAGCTCGACTCTTTAATGCTTTTTTCGTTTACACTGGCTACAATTACCTGCATCTAAGGGGCAATGTTTGTATTAAAACGCCTTTTTCTAACAGCCATAGCAGGAGGTGAAAATAAAGACGTCTGACCAATTTCCCGGTTAACTCAGCATGGATGGTTGCGATGCTTGTAAAACTATTGTTATTTTTAGTAGTAGTGTTAACAACTAAGTTAAAAACGTAAATTGGCCACCGTCACGAGTTTAAAGGCTAATGTTTCGAGCGTTAGCCCTTCGTCAGAGCGATTGGAGGAATTTTGGGTTGTATATGGGTTTATATGCAGAAAATGGAGCTAGCTATTGGTGGGAATATGGAGACTACAAAACAAGAATAAATTAGTTGAATGAAAAGTGCTCGCTGATACCTTGGGGATTTAGAGTGTCGATTTAGAAGATAATTTTTGTTCCAGTGTTTTGCGGCTCTCCAAACTGCCTAGATGTAAGGAAAGGCCGCAAACTGCCATGCGCTGGTTAGAATGATTAAGGAGATTAAAATGTCTAGCGACTGGTTTGGATGCGTCCTTGTCATTTCTTTCTACGTCGCGAAGGTGTTCTGGGAATCATTCACCTAGTCGTGTCCCTGTTTCACCAATGTTTAACTTTTTGCAACAAGTGCAAGTTATGCAGTGAATGACATTGGCGGAGGTGCTCGTAAAATGATCCGTGATCTTAATGGATCTCTTGGGTCCCGATATTTCCTGGGAAAGGACAAGTTTTACATCATGAGCGAGCACATTTGAAAGTTCTAGGTTAGTCATTGGTTTGAAATTAAGTTCTGACCAAAAAGTTGCCCTTGTTTTTGCCACGTTTGAATGAAATTCGTGGAGGTTGCGAAAAGATAGTACCAGTCTCTGAATCGTTTTGGAATAATTTAAAGTATCTTCAAAACTGTCAAAATACGATTAACAATCTTCAGGCCACTGCAAAAAATCTCACCATCACCACTCCTCGAACTTCGCGTATTTACTTTTTACCTAAAATCCTCAAACCTAGCAATTCAGCTCGACCCATCGTTTCTTCTCTATATGGGACTTTTCGCTCGCTGTCGATGAATGATAACAAAGCTGTTGCGAATAGTAATAGTTTGTAATGAACTTCTTAACCAAATAGTTGCCTATGTTCCTGTTGCATTTGAATCGTTGAATCGCGTTTCTTTCAAACTTGACCAAAACATAGGCAACTTTTTGGTCAGAAGTTTATCACAAACTAATGACCAATCCGGGACTTATCAAATGTACCCGCGGACGATGTAAAACTTGTCATCATAGCGTTGAGAAAATATCGGGACCCAAGTGATCCATTAAGATTACTGAACACTTCACGTGCTTCTCCGCCAATGTCAACTATTTCATAACTTGCACTGAATATAATAAGATATGCTTAAATGGGGAAACAGGAAGACAACTAGATGACCGACTTCGAGAACACCTTCGCGACGTAGGAAGGAATGACAAGGATGCATCCAAACCAGTTGCTAGACCCTTTTATCTCCCTAATCATTTTGGCTACGCCATTAGTTTGTTTGTGATAGTTATTCTCGAATGAAAAGCAATTGAGTGTTAGCACTAGTTCGGCTAGGCGGAGTAGTGTTTCAAAACTAGGTTCCTTAACAGTACGTTGATCGAAGAACGTTAGAAGGCCAGGAGACCTTAACAAATGAGAATTTCAGTATAAAGAGATGTCAAATCCATAGTGAAAAGGAGTTCGTCTCAGCCAAGGAATCGAAAGTCGCGAAAAATTTCAAGTGTGTGCGTCTCCAATGTATGATGGTAAAGGTTTGACGATAGGAGCCATCATTTCGTCTAAATTGCTGGAAATAAGTTCTGTGGAACAACTTCAGAGACGATGGGTTGACCTAGGTTGTGAGATTTGTGGATAATAGATGAAAAAAATACATAGAGTTCTAGGAGTGTTAATGGTGAGATTTTTTGCAGATAAATTCTTGATTAGCTAGAAGATCATTAATCGTATGTACAATGTTTTGGTTGATGGTACATTAAGTTACTCCAAAACGATTCAGAAACTGGTACTATCTCTTGATGAAAGTGAGATCTTTGTCAACTTTTCCGTAAAAAATGTGTCAGAAAGTTACCGCAAAGCTGCTTTTTGGTAGAGGTCGACCCGCCAACCAACTACTGCGCAACCTTTGTCGGCCTTTTTGATAACAATGTGTTTCCGTTTCTTTTAGAATTTTTAGTGCCGACACTCTT